ACAGGTTGGCTGGGTGTACCCTGCTCTTGTCCAACAGCTTCTATTGTGGCTTCCTTGGAATCAAATTATACAGTTGCCCCTGGAGAAGTGAGGTCTGTACCCCAGAAAGCCACATATGACCCCAAACCAGAAAAATACAGGTCTATGTCCCAGGGCTTCCAGACCGCATAGACAGGCATCCGGAGTCAGGCCTGCCTGTGGAATTGCGCCGTTCAGACAGTACACTGCACCACATCCAGAGTTGCTTTTCTTTTATTAAGGAGTGGACATGGGGTGGGAAGCAGTGTGGCACCTCCTGGCAAGACCCAGGACAACAGCAGCCAGGGTCAGGAATGCCACCACAGCCAGGCTCAGGCCCAGAGCCATGGAGGCGTGAGCAGGAGTGTGCCAACCCTCCACACCATGGTCGCCACGGTCATCAGCCTTTCCCAGGAAGATCAGTGGCCCCACGGTGACATCTGCTTCTTCAGTCACTGTGAATGGAGTGGGACACCTGAAGGTCACTTTTGTCCCTCACCAGGAGTCAGATTGTGGATTTTTGCTGCCTTCATAAGCTGAACTAGATTTGGCTCTAACAGCTGTCGATTCTCCCAACACTCCCTATTATGTCCCAGGAGAATCCCAGGGCGCAGAGTTCCATCTGCTATTGGAAGGGGCTCAGAGCCCTTTTAGCCTTCTGTATATAGCCCTAAGCCACATCCCCGGAATTAACAGCCTCAGTGAGGGACAAGGGAAAATATTACCCCAAGATGACAGGTGTCCTAGGATATGAGGAAAACTAAAACTCAGCGACTGGCCCATGGTGACATACCATGTCTGCGGTTTCGTGACGTGGCCTTGGGCCCCTGGACAGGGGGCTGCCTCCTGGAAGAGCCTGGTGTGCTACAGTCCCCCCTGGCGCAGCATTCACAGATCTCAGCAGAGCCTTCGACTGGCGACCAGCTGAGAAGGGAAGACAAGGGGCTTGAGGTGTCCTTGTGGCTGCGGGGATACTGGGGGGAGTAGATGCCAGGCGTCCCCGATTAGGTTTCCACCCAGGGACACAATCTGCTCTCCTCACCTGTTGGAGGACTTGTTGAAGGAACAGGCTTTGTTGAGTTGATCCGGGGGTTGGTGGGCAGGAATAACCTTCAGATGGCAGGTGATGTAGATCTGAAAGAAATAGCAGGTGTGCTGGAGACTTTGACAAACTGGTTCTATAACCCTTAGCCCTTCCAGGCGTCCGGAAGATGAACTTCCATCCTTCCATTTACCCCAAGATTGCAGAATGAGTAGCAAATCTGATTCTAAGCTGGAACCCATCATTTCCATGGATCCTTTCCCAAATAGTCTCCATCACATGGCACCGTGAGCCCTGGGCTCATGAAGTCAGCCCCTCAGTGATGAGAGGAGGATTAAGTATTGTGAAAGCCCTCCACTCAGACCCAGGTGACCCAGTGGGTGGTAGACACTTTCCTAGCAGGCAGCTTAGCTGGGTTTCTGAGATTGCCACCTGTCACTTGACAGGTTGACAAACTACTTCTCAGGAACGTAGTCACTGGATAGTACCATTTTTCAAAGGAAAGTGGTTTTCTGTGACCCAAGGTCCTTGACCAGAGAGATCTCTTGTACTAGCTTCTCTAGAGTTTGCACCAGACAGAAAAATTTTCTGGCTATTTCCTTGGAAATGTTTCCCCGAGTTTCTCTTCCTTAGGCATATGCTCCCCCGGACCCCTGCCCTGCTTGCACAGAATTGGGGATTGAACCCCGGACTCACAAGCTCGGCAAGGACTCTACCTCTGAGCCCCAGCCCAGCCTGTGTCTTCTATCCATTTGTCCTGTCAGCTTTTTCAAGTTTTTCTTTTGTACCAGAGATGAACTCAGGGGTACTCAACTGCTGAGCTAGAGCCCCAGACTTATTTTGGCGTTTTATTTAGAGATAGGGTCTCACTGAGTTGCTTAGCACCACGCTTTTGCTGATGGCGGCTTTGAACTCACGATCCTCCACCCTCAGTCTCCTGAGCTGCTGGGATTATAGGCCTGCGCCACCATACAGGCTCTTCGAGCATCTTTAGTGATAATGATCAGGCTAGTTGCCCTGGCTAGACTTGGCCTAGCCACAGCCTCTGACCTGTCACTTAATTCTTCTAGTAAAATAAACTCCTCCTGGGAGTTGAGGGATCTATGTCCCCAGAAGCTACTCACCAGGAGTCTGACACCCCAGCTCAGCACCTGGACTGAGGTCTTTTCTTGTTTTGCCCTTTGATCTAACCTATGGCCCCAGGCATGCAAGTGCATCTCCCCTGAGCTATATGCCCCAGCGTGGCAAGGGGGGGGGATTCTGACAGCCTGGGTTCAGTTCAGCCCTGAGCCATTCCAAGTTAGGGATCCCTTGCATATTCTAGGTAGGGTTTGGATACCTCCTTGTTTACCTTGTCTACCACCTTCTAGCTGAAGCCTCAAGCAGAGCCACAAGCCTTGGCCACCCTCTAGTGGCCAAGTGAAACCATTTCAGAAACTTAAAGCTAGACCTTTGCGGATCTAGGATGTGTTTTTGGCTGCCTGCCTATCCATCCATCTGTCCTACAAGGAGATAGCTTCCAGGTCCTTTAAAGTCCTTACTCCATAAAGGGGAGCTGCTTTTGTCTTTAGTGTCCCCCCCGACTTTTCTTTTGGTGCTAACCTAGAGCCCAAGATCCCCAGATGTTCCCCTATAACTTTTGAGACAAGTTCTTGCTAAATAGCTAAATCTGATCTCAAACTTGTTATCCTCTGACCTCAGCATCCCCAGTAGCTTGGATTATAGGTGTGTGCTGTGCCTCGTCCTAGTTACAGCTATTTTTTGTACCAGGGATTGAACTCGAGGGCACTTAATCACTGAGCCACATTTCCAGCCCTTTATTAATTTAGAGACAGGGTCTCTCAGTTGCTTAAGGCCTTGCTAAGTTACTGAGGCTGACTTTGAACTCTCAATCCTCTTCCCTCAGCCTCCCAGACCACTGGGATTACAAGTGTGCTCCACCGTACCCAGCCCCTTACAGCTCTTAAAAGTTGTGCCTTCTCCCTGTGCCTTGGGCCACCATCCACCAAGCCATGCCTTCCACGTTTGAGGGTGAGCCTGCCCAAGTCCTAGGCTCCATGAATCCAAATTGCCCTCTAATCTTAAAGGGGTCACCAGCTCTACTCGCACCCCTGTAGCTGGCCAGCACCAGTACCAAGGCTTATATTTTAATCCCCTCCACCCACGTCTGTTGTCAACATCAGCTCCCTGCTCCAACCAAGATCTTCTACCCTAAGACCCACAAGGTCACTGATCTGAGAACCAGGACATCCCTTTTCTATATCTGTTCTTTCTCCCCAGTCCCATTTCAACCCAGGACCCTCCATAGAGAGCTTCCGGCCATCTCAGCATCAGACTTCCCGCCCCACCTGTCACCTACCCATCTGTATTGAACAGTTCCCCCCTCCCCAGCAAGGTTGGAGCTGGGGAGATAACGTCAATGTCATGCTCTACAACTCCCCCTTTGTCCCTTAACACTGCCTAGCCATTTGAGCCCATCTCATTGGTTGGTAAACTTGGCTGCTTACTAGGATCACCTGAGAGAAATGTATCAAACATTTAATAAGAGAAAGACAAAAAACAAAACGCTAGTAGATGATGTAGTAAAGTGCTAATGATAGCCTGTAATCCCAGCAGCTCAGGAGGCTGAGGCTGATTAGTAATTTAATGAGGCCTTAAGGGTTTCTAAAATAGACAAAGGAGCTGGGTAATATGGCTCAGTGGTTAAACACCCTTAGTTCAATCCCTGGTACCAAGAAATAAAATGCTAACAGTAAAACCTAGATAGTAGGTGTGTTTGTAAAACCCAACTTCCCACCTAGTTAAGTGAAAATGTGGGATTATGTAGTCTTTGTGGGGACTGAACCCAGGTCCTTGCACATGTGAACTACATCTTTACCACCAAGCTACACCCCTAGCCCAGGCATCAGTATTTTTGTGACCTCTCTAGGTGATCAGTAGAGAATCAACATTAAAA